CCGCGCCCGCGCCTTTCTCCTGCGCCGGTGAGGCGGCGCGTCCCGGAGCCCCTCGGCCGTCCCTCCGGCGGGCCAGCTGAGCCGCGGCCGCTACCGACGCAAGGCACCTCTGCCGGGAGAGTTGCCTCGGGCCCTCCCGGCGCCGGGTCCCGCGGGCGGTCCTGGCGCCTCGCTGGGTCGCGCAGCGCCTTTGGGCAGCCCCTGAGCGCCGGGGGCGGCCCTGGTCCTCGCCAGCCCGGGGCGGGGGGGTCTGGGTACGGCCGTCCTGGCCAGTACCTGAGGCCCTGGGACTGCGCGGCGAAGCCTCCGCTCGCCGAAGAGGCGACGGCAGGGGGCCGAAGCGCGTACCGCCGGGAGCAGCGACAGAGAGCGAGCGCGCGCGCGCCAGCCGCTCTTTCGGGACGTACGAGCTGCCGAGAAACCCCGGAGGGGCTGCGAGACCCCCGCGGGAGAAATAAATGATAGTATGGCTTCGCTGGGGTACCACCTCTTCAGCGGGACTCTGAATACAGGAGGTGGTTTTGAACACCTAGCTGGTTGCCCGACGGGAAGGAGATCGGGAAGCAGACGGTCTAGCACTGCGCATCTGGTCTGCCCTGCCAAACGGTGCTGCTGCCAGAGAGTAAATCAGTTTGGCAAAACTAAATCTAAGCTAACGTTTGGTAGTAGCAACTAAAAAGGGCATTATCATTTCATCAGAATTTCTCAGTTGTTGAGAAATACAAGGCTGAGACTAATACCTGTGCTATGGTTTCTTACCAACATCATGGAAAGCATTAACTCTCGAACGAGCACCAGATCTCTGAAACAAGTTGTTTGTGTTACATAAAGAAAAGAGGCAGAATCCCAACAAGCCGTCAAGAGCAGGTTACTGTACACGTCACAGAACAAATGCAATCTAATGCCTTAAAAAGGAACAAAGGAGATGATAGATTTTGGAGCAGAACAATAATCTTGCCCAGTGCAGCTTCCCTTTTTTTTTTTTTTTTTCTTTTCCTTGGCAGGTTAATGTGCTTCACGGGGAAGGGTAAAAAACATAATATGCAATTTTGTAGGAATTTATCCACAAGAAAATTTTATGTTTAAGTCTGCTTCTACTAGTTGTTTTGGTATGCCTTGAGGCATTATTTTTCCATTTATTAAAATACATGTTTTTATTTTAAAGTTAAGACTTCCTTACAACTCTTGAAGTACTTCCTGTAATTTTCTGAGTGGGAGTTAAACGCATATATGTAAGGAGGGTCTGAATCCCATATTGCCTTCTCCCTACATTCTAAATACATGATTTGCACATTCTTCAAGTCCATTTCTTTGGATTAACGTGGCGTTCACCTTTCTGGTTTCCTCATGATCTAGAGCCAAGAATCATTCAGCAAGAACTCCATGTGTAGAAATGCGGCACAAGATGAATGTGTAGCAAACTCATCTCTAATAAAATCACCGTTAATAAATTGTTCTGTGTAAAAGAGTGATGTCACTCTATATACACTGGAGGTACCATTTACATATTGGCAGAGGAAAAATATATTTTTTGGACTGCCCTCAATCTACTGGTGTGTGTGAGATACATAAGGATGGACAGATATGATACATCCTGGTAAAGTGCATTTCATTGCTAAACTATTTCAGTGTGAAGTTTAGACCAGTATTATTTGTAGAATTCTTTTAATGATGAAATAGTTGAACTGAGGAAACAGATGGTTCAGGAAGTGCTCCCTAAGTACTGTGCATCGTTGCTATGCTGGCCATGAGAACAAAGTCTTAGAGCTCAGTCAAACTTCAAGTCTCTAGCAAGGCAGGCAGAAGCTGTGAAAGTGGTCTCAGAGGGATGTAGAGTCAGCTGCTCTGCTCATTCTGAATCCTCTTGTGGGCAAAACTGCCAGGCGCCCCAGCATTATTTTGCAAGGTTGAGGTTTCTGCCCAGGAGGTAGATTATGAGAAAGAGTCTATGAATTAGGAGGAGGCACATAGGAGTCAAGCCAAAATAAGAAGAGTGATGGCATGTTTTGTGTGTGTTAGCATTACAGATGCCTGTGTTGTGCCAGCAGCAGCATGAATGTGTGTAAGAGGCGTAAGGAAGATGGGTTGCATTGTTTGCCCAGGGACAGCATTCTTGGATTCTCAAAACAAGCTGTCAACACTCTCATTGGTGACATTAGTTTAAAGACACAATTGTTTCTGCATCTTCGGAAAATTGGGGTTTGAACCAATATTGGGTGTGTAATTAAGTGCTATATTAGGGGAAATAGTGAGTCAAAGCAATAGGCTGCTCAAGAAGGTAACTTCTGCCATCTGTTTCAGTGAACGTTCATCTTGGAGCTTTGACAAGTAAGGGAAAGCAGATTCACGTAGCTTTGTCCCAAGTAGCAGGATGAAGGAGAAATACTCTCATGCATGATGAAGAAGGAGCTCTAATTTAACTCAGAATTAAACATTTAATTTGACTGTTAATGGACTTTTTTCTTTTTTTTCCTTTTCTCACTTAAACTTAAGTGCAAATGTGCATTCCCAGATCATTCTCCAAACTTAACATATAAGGAAGAACAGATACCTTCCTTTTGGAGTCTTCAAGCAAAGTTTGTGTATGATGATTGAAGAAATTCTAAAGGGCAATCATTCCATCCTCCAATAGTACTTCTGGCTTTGTCTGGGTATTAAGGTATATTATATACTTAGATAAGCATTGTTCTATCTATATTGTCAGAATTGAGAAGTTGCTTTAGTGATGAAAAGCCAGAATGTATTAAGTTAGAATTGAAGAATACCCATACAGTGTACTGTGTATAATTTCTCGTATTACCCAGAGTGTGTCTACTGAATTTAATCCTGCTTGAAAACTGGCTTTAATGACAATGATTGGGGGGGGCTCAGTTTCTGCAGTTCAAGTCTAGCTGCACTTACTTCAGAAAGCAAATTTAATGCAAAATCGAGCACAGGAAAATAAAGAAGTAGCAGGAAAGTTGCCAGCATCACGTGTAGTATACCAAAGAGATGCATTTGCCACTCAGGGATTGTGATAATGCATAATTGCTTTAAAGATTACTTTCTTTCTACAGTTTGATTTGAGAGTTGATGTATTTTCTAATATAAGCAGTCAAGAATAATATTGTCACCACAAAATTTCCCTGAAGAGTCCTCCTTTTTCTTTGTTTCACTGATCTTTGTGGATGCGTTTTTCAACGCAGCTGTAGGCACTACTAGGAGGGGACCACCAGAGAGCAGTACTCGATTCTGCTGTCCTGGCAGGGCTCTGGCTGTTGGCTCCTGTTAGTCACATGC